GGGCAGCGGAAGTGGAGGGGGGGGGGCCGCGCAGCCGAAACACAGCGCAAGGGTCGGGAGCACAAGTCGTCGCCCCCCGCCTACTCAGGCTCAGGCTCTGCCAAAACACGACGCAGCCGCTCGGCAGCGCCTCCGTCCGTCCGGAACACGACGGGGGGCTCTCTTGAAGGCCCGCTTGAAGGCCACTCTGCAAGACTCACCTAGGGCAAAGGCTCTCCGAAACCCCCGACCCTCCCGCTCGGAAGAAAACCCTTCGAGGGGAACAACGGCTGCTGGCCGTCCTGGACCGGGGGGGGGGGAGGCCCCTCTTGCATGAGACCCTGTGTCCTTCCCCGCCGCCTTCAAACCTACCCCCATGCCCTATTTCCCCCCCGTTGCAATCTCCACACACACACACACCCAATGTCTATGGGGTTTTTTCTCCTTCATCAGTCGTCTGTGTTTCGTCGTAACCTCCCGTCAACCGCTAGTTACTGACTGCTGCTACCACCTCTCCGACCCTTGTGCGCATGCGCTCAGGCTCCACCTAGCTCGCGCCGCAGCAGCCGCCTCCGCCTCCGCTGCCAGCTCCGCAGCCACACGCCACACTTCCACTGGCGGCGGCGGCGGCGGCGGCGGTGCTGCGGACTCGTCGTACCCGTCCGCCCTCCGCGGTTGGCTTGTGAGCCTGGCGGTGGGGTTCGTGAAGAGCTCTCTGGGGTCCGCTCTGAGGGCGGCAGCGGCCCAGGGGATGGTTCACCTGCAGGTACGGCAAGCGGGGGGAGGGGGGGGGAGGAGGGGGGCCGTGTGTGTTTTGCTTTGCACGCGCATGTGTGTGTGTGGTCAAGTGTTTGGACCAGGCACGGCAAGTGTCTTGAAAAGGCATGGCGGGACACTGCAGACACGAAAGCGTGCTGTGTGTTTAGGTGGGAGGGTTGACTTTCCCCCTGCGTGCCCCGCTGGCCTTGTTTGCTTGCCTCCCGCCACAACCCCTCCCTCCCATGCTGGCTTGCACACGCATAAACACACACACACACACACACACACACAGACCGCCACCACCCCGACCTCTCCCCCCGCATCTCCCTCTCCCCTACCTCCGTTGCGCAACTGCGTATATTGCAGCTGGAGCGACTTCCCCATCCTGTCGTACGGCAGCTCCAGGAAGCCACTGCCGCTGCCGTACTGTCCTGCCTGGCGGCCGGTCGAGAGCAGCTGTTGTTCGACACCGTGTTTCCGTTGTGCCGCGATGCGGGGGCGGTTGGGCCGTTGGTGGAGGCGGTTGAGGTGCGAGGTGGTTGGGGCGGTTGGGGTGGAGTGGTTTGGTTTCGGGAAAATGGTTATATGTTGGGATGAGAAGTGCCGTGAACGGTAGCTGGCAGAGTTACGGAGGGAAGTTGCCCCTAGGGTGTGGGTAGTTGGGAGCGGGAATTGGGAGTTGGGAGTTGGGAGTTGGCAGTTGGAGGTTGGCGGTTTTTCCTTAGGTAACGTCGTGCGAGTTCAAGGCAAGAGCACGAGAACGGCACAAGTCCCTGACACGACACATGCGTATGTACGTATGTACGTATGTGTGTGCGCGTGTAAAAGTTCTCCTTCATAAACGGAGCTCGGCCGGCCCGGCCTGTTTGTTAAGCGGCGTCCGGGCTGCTTGTGTGTCTGCATGCACACACACACACACACACACACACACGCGCGCCTCTTAACTACAACACTAAGTACAACCCAGTAGCCTGCCATCAGTAATCCCAGCCTGAGCACAGCCCGTCACTCCATACAATCCCCTCCAACCTATCCTTCACCCCTTCCTCACCCCTCATCCACCCACCCTTTCCCCCCCACACACATGGTCTCTTCACACACCCATACACACCCATACACACCCATACACACCCATACACACATCTCCCCCCCCGCAGGTTGCCGTGTTATCCGGCTCCCTGCCCCGTCCCGCTCCGGAGCTGGTCCAGGTGTTGGTGGACTACCTGGCCGGTCCAGGGGGGGTGGGGCGACCTGACCGCGTGGAGAGGTGCGTGATGCACTTCGACATCGCCGCC